TGATGCTGGAAAATACTCTCAGTCAGGGAACACAAATGGAGCAGCAGGGGATTCAGGGAGTCAGGCACTCAAAAAGGTAGAAACCAAGGGAAACAGGAGCTATCGTGAATCAATCAGACCTTCACCTCTTCTGACAGGGAAAGTCTCTCCTTGAGGAAGCATTAAGAGTGGCAGCTGCTTGGCATCACTACATCAGGAAGAAATTACGAGCACACCTGGAAGAGGCCAGGACTTAGAAGTGGATAGGGACTGAGGACTCTGAGAATGGCCTTGCAAACTGTCTCCCTCATTTGGACAGAAGCTCCTTGAGGGCAAGGACCTTGGTTTTGGTTTTTGTTTTTTTGTCTTTCTTTGAATCCCCAGCCCTTAACACAATGCTTGACATGGAATAATCGCATACTAAATATCGACTATGTGTTGGCTACAATGAGGGCTTCTGAAGGGCACTGTGTCTCATATAAGTTTCTCAGTTTCCAGGTGTATCTTTGTCATCTCACCTCTGTAAAGCAGTTTGAGCTAGAAAGAGGGGGCCTCTTCCCCAGGGATCTTAGCCCTTGGGGGTTTTCTGAACAAAATCCAAGCCACAGGTTGGTGTCCCAAGACAGATCCTAACCTCCTCCAGCCACGGTTGGTTCTTTTATCCTTGGCGGCCTTTCAAGAAAGGGGTTTGAGAAGATCACAACACAACCAAGGCTGGTAGCCTTTTATAGTAGTCAAGGATATTGAAAGAGTAATGGGGTTAATATGAGAGGCAATTATGGCTTAAGGGCTACAGAGTAGTTTAGAACATACATGTAGTACTAGGAATGGGGGTAACTGGTAGCCTCAAGATTCTACATCTTGTATCTGGAAGCCTAGAACTATTGGGTAATCCAGTGGACATGACCTAAGCAGGATGGTATAGGCAGCCAGGTGGCAGACTAGGCAGAGTGCAGGGCCTAGAATCAGAAAGACTCGTATTCCTGAGTTCAAATATGGCCTCAGATACTTACTAGCTGTGTGATCCTGGGCAAGTCACTTAACCCTGTTTGCCTCAGTTTCCTCATCTGTAAGATGAGCTGGAGAAGGAAATGGCAAACCAAGCTAGTATCTTTGCCCTAAGTGGGAAAACAGAAACAACTGAACAACAAAGAAACACACAGGGGTGATTGTGGGAGGTGTCTGTTTCATTGCCTTCCAGGTGGTAAGCGGCAGTATTCAAAGCAGCAGTCAGGAGGCAAAACTGAGCACAGCATAATTAAGACCCCACTTCCCCACCCCCATTCCTTCCCCCCTTTCTCCACCTCCCAGCCATGGTCCTTTATCCTCCAGGCCACTCAACTTGCTCTTGGCAAGAGTTGGTTTTGTTTTTGTTTTTAAGGATTGTAATTGAGGCCTTGGAGTGGGAACAAAAGTCCAATTCCCCCCTCCCATTTAAGCTCTTCTCATTCTAGATGAGTTCATCATAGTTAGGACTAGAGGAGAAAGCTTTCTATGTCAACTCTTGGCTCCTTCCTAGATTCCTAGATCTCCTTGGACAACATCATTAACTTGCTACCTTCTCTCTCTCTCATCCTTGGATCCACAGTTTCTTCCCTGGAGAAGAAGGGACAAGGGCTATAACGGGGATCTGCCAGACACAGGGGAGGTATCCAGTTACCTTTTGTCTAAAATACTTGCTACTGGGCCTTAACCCATACCAGTACTTCATACTTTCTCCCAAGGTCAAGCAACAAGGAGCTAAAGGTTCCTGCTTTTTCTTTTTTTGTTTACTTTCTTTTCTCTTTATGCCCTTCAGTCATTCCTAGGTTCACCTCAAAGACACCACCTCCCTTACCGAGGAGAGAAAGGAGGCACACTAAGACTAATCCCCAACTGACACACCCTCCACCAGACCAGACACACCCACCCATCCCATTTCTCCAGAAAGATGCTGGAGTAGTCTGAGAGCTAGGGTTCTTCCTCTGGCCACGGTACACCAAGGACAAAACTTCTCATATCCTTCCTCCTCCCACCCCATAAATTAATATGTACCTAGTACAGGGGAAGTAATTAATAAATACTTGTTGATCAGTTGATTTCTACATCCACTAAGGCCAATGCAACTCAGGAGACAGTGCAAAGGGCGGGGGGAGTAGGATGATGTCGAGGTGGGTGTGGGGGAAAGGTTTCTCAGAGACCCCTAACTACGTTGTGGCTGTATGCATCAGTATACATACACACACACACACACACACACACACACACACACACACATACATACACACACATATACATATATATGTATATAACTGCGGAGAGCTATTGTGAATACTGAGGTCACATACTGTGGATTCAGCTAACATATACTACGTCGATGAGAAGGGGTGGGAGTACGTACGTACAAGGATCACACTCACAGTATGGAGGAAGAGGCAGACTTTTGATATAATGGACCTAACCGACGCACCCCCTTTTTATGCCTCCTACCTATCCAGTGGCCTGGCTACAAAGAGGTCGTAAAGCTGTTCACAGGTTGTTTTCCCCTGCCCAGTCCGACAGGATAGGAAGACACAGCTCTGAAGAGGGAGATCCCAGCTCTCCCAGCCCCAGGGAGCAGAGCGGGAAGAAGGCTCTGATCAGGTTAGAGGCAGAAACTCGCCCCTTCTGCCCCAGCTCTGTTCTTCTCCAGTCTTGGGTGAACTCCAGCCCTGAAGAACTACACAACGAACTGGGGCTGGGGGGTGAGGAGTGGGGGAGGATTCGGAAGCCGGGAGCAGCACGATCTCTCAGCCTGCCCGGCCCCCCCACCCCCCAGCCCCAGTCCAGTTCAATCCAGAGATAGCGGCTCTTCTCTCCACCTCTCGGTGAAGTCTCAGCTTCTGTTAGCTCTCTGATCTCGTTATCTCCCTTTATTACAGGCGCCCCCAAAAGATCTCTTCATCCCAAATAGGGGTCTCATACTCCCGGAAAGCCCAGGGGTGGATTTTGCGGCTGCCACTAAATCCATCGCTGGGTCCCCCAAGCCCCACGTGCCTTCTTACCTTGGGCTCCGGCTACACGGATCCGCAGCAGGATCAGCAGGGTGCATAGCAGGAGTCCTCGCATGGTGTTGGGACGTCGAGGTGCCTCTCCGGGTTTCCCCACCTCGCCTCTTTACGTCTTATAATCCTCGTGGGGTCCGACACCCCGCGGCTTCTTCCCACGGCAAATCAACTGGGGGCCCCAGCCCTCTGGGCCGTTTAATCGAGAGAAGGGGCAGAACGGGTGACCCCCTTGTCCCTTCCAAGATCAATCTCCCAGAAGACAAAGAGCAACAAGGGGTTGGATAGGACTGGGAGGGTTAGCCGCCCCCTACCCCCTGGCCGATAGGAGCACTTCCTTTCCAGTCCCCTTCTCCCGCAAAAGGCAGTGCCACCAAGGCTGCTCTCCGGCTGGGTAGCAGCCTGAGCTTTAGCTCCGGGAGAAATGGACAACTTTAAGAAACTTCCTCCAGTGGCCACGTTGCCCGCCCCCCGCCCCCTCCGCCTGCCGCCCGCCCCCTGGTTCGGATTTCCAGGCGAAGTCCACGCTGTTTGAAATGTTTGGCCCAGCTACCAGAGCCGGAGGGGAGGAAGGGAGGGGGGCTGGCGGTGGGGTGGAGAGTGAAGGTGATGTTTTAGGGGTGCCAGGGCTTGGGGGTAGGTTAGTACATCGATCCAAGTCTTCAAGTTTTCTTCTCTTTCTTTAACTTTGCAGAATGCATCAAGTCGGGCAGAGACCGCTACGACTTAAAACACTCTCTCCCTTTTTCTTCCTGCGCCCCCACCTCAGCCCGTTTGGAGTAGAGAATTCACCCGTGGATGTAACGCCGAACGAAGCCGCCGGGAGCAAGCTCTCCGCCCCACGCCTACCCGGCTAGCAAACTTTGCACGTTCTGCAACCCGGTGCGGAGCTCCGGCTGCACCACGTCCAGACCAGCCCGGATGCTGCCAGGGGAAGTTGGTGTGGCTGAGGGGCGCGCTCCTGCCGGCACCCAGGAAACTGAGCGCTCCGCCTGGCCTGGAGACGGCCGGCTCTGCCCTCCTCCGGAGTCTCTGGCCCCAGCCGGAGAGGACAGATCCAGGAAAGAAGGCAAAGCTGCAGTCTGCGAGGCGCGCAGCCGGCTCTCCCCGGCTCCGTGCCCTCCGGGAAAGAGGAGAAGCACCTTTGTCCCCACCGCCGCCGAGCCGCCGCGGCCCCGGCCAACGCCGCTCGGTCTTGCCGCGGAGCCACTCGCCCTATCCAACAGATCTCTTCCTCTTCCCTGGGCTCGGCTGCAGTGTGAGCTGGGGCTCGAGTCTCTGCCGAGCCGGGAGCGGCGGCGGGGGGGAGCCCGAGCCGGGGACGAGCGCGGCGGAGGCGGAGGGAGAGATGGAGAGGGGGGCCGAGCGCTACCCTGTGGCCACGACTGGAGAGCAACCCTGCGCGCACAGAGAAGGGAGGAAGGAGGGCCGGGGGCCCGGAATGAGCCCCGCACAGACACAATCTGTCTTCAGTGCCACGGCCCCCGCGTCTCAGGAATCCGCTTGCGTGCAGTGGGGCACTTCGAGCCCAGGGAGAGTGCTACATCACCTCCACTTCCATTCTCTCCCTCTCAGGCGCCCTTTCAGGCCCCTCGCATGCCCCCCTCCCCCAATTTCAGCCCGAGTCCATTAAGGGGGGGACCCACCTCCTCACACACGCCCAGTCTGGCTTAATGCCTGGGTAAGAAATGGCATGGCGGAGACAAGCCAAGGCCAACAGGGTAGGGGAAACCGAAGGGGAAGGTCAGGAGCAGAGTTCTCTTGTGCCCCTTCAAAAAGGTTTGGAAACACTTGGAAAGGGAACAGGAAAAATAGAAGATTGGGTTCCATAAGGGGCGCGAGAACGTGGCACAGGAGCTTCGGTCACCTAGTGCCCCGCCCCCCTTCCCCTCAGGAAAAAGCAAAAGAGCCACCCTGAGTCATCACAAAGCGTTTGCTCGTCCGGGAGCTAGGTTGGGGAGGCGGGGTGGGGGGATGGGGGGGTGGAGAGAAGGTCCCCTTTACCTTGTTTGGAAGTCTCAACAGGTGATGGCGCTGTAGCAGTTCCTCTGGTAAACCCGGACTGGTTCTCTGTGTCTGCCTATTTCTGTTGCAAATCAAAGGACCAGTGTGTGTCGGCGTGGCCTGGAGGTACACTGCGGCTAGTCTCTGAACTCTTTGTCTTTTCTGCCCTCCGAGTATGACACCCCATCTAGTCCTGCCTCTCATTCTTTGGACCCCTTTCCCTCCCTCCTCATCACTTCTCACCTGGACTATAGCAATAACTATTCAATTGGTCTCCCTGCCTTGTGTTTACCCCCATTCTGATCCATTCTCCAATTAACCACTAAAATTATTTTTCTAAAGTAGCTGTTCTAATTCCCTTCACTGGCAAAGGGAAATTAGTCTCCACATTGAACAGGGGTTCTTTACCTGGAGTCCGTGAACTTAAAAAAATTTTTTTAATATAACTTTCAATGTAATTGGCATTCTTTGTAATCCTCTATATTTTATGTATTTAAAAGAAATATTATCAGAAGGGGACCTTAGACTTTGCCAAACTGCCGAAGAAGTCCATCTCACACACACACACAACATTAGAACTCCCGATCTAGAACATTTTGTTACTTTAATCTCAAAGGTCCTGAGCCCAGGAGTTTGGCCTCTTTGCAGTCCCCCAGTCTTCTCACTTAGACCAAATCTGGTAACTTCCTCGTTAAATCTTCACCTCATCCTGGCTGCCAGTACCCCGACCCAACTCTGATTAGTAACTGCATGAGAGGAAGGTGGGGAAGGGCAAGATCATGAATGCAGCAAGTCCTCTATTCTCTCCTCAGAGCAGTCAGGTACACACTGCACCACCTTGCCTGTGGTCTTTCAGGGCTCTGACTTCAAAGGTTTCTCCCCGACCCCAGCTCAGAGATACAAACTGGCAGAGCAGTTGAACTTGAAACAGTTAGGCTCTAAGATACCAAGGACCTTTGTTGGACATGGTCCAAGTGTGGCTACCCTTGTGTGTTCCAGGATACTGACTCACACAGACAAATCCTTGAGGTGCTTCTGTCTCAGCTGAGGGAAGAAACAATAGAAATATCACAGCTAAGTTCACAGAAAAAAGTAAAAGGCACAAGTATACACTTACTTGCACAAGCAAACATACAACTGAACTGCACAGCGACTTTATTCTTATATGCCTTAACTCCCTGAAACAAACAACCAGAGCCCCTTAGATCTAGACTAGCGTTTGATGGTGGGCAGAAACAGATTTTAGTCTGAAAGTGTAGGCATTAAGCATGGTGTCATGCTCCAAATCTATCCATTCTTTTTCAGACATTTAACATCAAAAGATGCTAGAGTAGAAAAACTTACTTGGAGACTGGGGACATGTCTTGAGAGAATGGGAGAACGGTTCATTTCAGGATCTAAGGTACTCCCAACTCAGAAGTAGAAGAGCCAGAGTTATGCCAAACCAGAAACTCTTTCAACACATTGTTGTTCAGGTGCTTCAGTCTGGTGCAACTCTTCATGACCCCATTTGGAGTTTTCTTGGTAAAGATACTGGAGTGGTTTTGCCATTTCTTTCTTCAGCTCATTTTACAGCTGAGGAAACTGAGGCAAAGAGGGTGAAGTGACTTGTCCAGGGTCACACAGCTAGTAAGTTTCTGAGGCTGGATTTGAAACCAGGAAGATGAGTTCTGGATTCCAAGCCTAATCCTCAGAATAGAGACATACTAAATTGTTGAACTCATCCTTATGAGTTCAAATCCTGCCTCAGATACTTCCTAGCTGTGTGACCCTGGGTAAGTCACTTCACCCTGTTTACCTCAGTTTCCTCATCTGTAAAATGAGCTGCAGAAAGAAATGGCAAAACCACTGCAGTGTCTTTGCCAAGAAAACCCCAAATCGCATCACAGAGACTCAGAAACAACTGAAATGACTGAGCAACAGCAGCTAAGGTCATATAGGTAACAAGTGGCAAAGCCAGGAATTGAGCTTAGGTTTTCTGATTCTATATCTAGCACTATTTTTAACTTCTAACAGAGTCGTTGTTACATAGTTGGTTTCTGTAAATTTGAGCAAAGGAGGGCAAGTGCAGAGGAAACAGTTCTGGAATAAGGTCCTAAAAAAATTAGTTAAGCCTCTGTCCACAAAATACCCAGAACTCCCTGCAGTTCCTACTAATCTTCATCAAAATTCACAAAACCTTTAATGCGTATGGAAGATATCACACTTTCCAGAAAGTAACACACACTGAGCTCTCTAGGAGCTGCTTCCTCATCCTCGCATCCTACACACTTTATTTGTGGAGCATAATATTCATAGGATTCTATTTGTCAATGAAGTACGATTTCATGGGTGAAGAGATCATCTGTTCCAGGCTCCTCATTCTGTTGTTGTTCAGTGGCTTTTCAGTAGTGACCCCATTTGGGATTCCCTAGCTCATTTTACAGATGAAGAAGCTGAAACAGAGTTAAATGACTTGCCCAGTATCACACAGCTAGTTAGTGTCTAAGGCTGGATTTGAACTCAGGAAGACTCAGCTTTCTGACTCCAGGCTCAGAGCTCTGTGTATTATTGGTACCACCTAACTGCCCTCAATACAACTTACCTCTTTTATCCCTCGATACTCTGTATGCAAGCTGCCAAACCTCTTCATTCCTGAGCTGAGTGTCAGCTCCTCAGGACATTTTTATCCTGAACTCTACCCCAGACATCTACTAGATGCCACTGGGAAAATTACACCCCTCATAACAAGCATTCCTAGCCTCTGCCCCCTAGATCACCTGATGGCTACAGCAGATTCTCTCAGGATGGTAGGTTCTATACTCTGGAGCAATAGCCAATGAGTAATTGACCAGCTTGTCCCTTTTTTTGTTTTAGGTGAAACAAAGTGATTCCCAATTAAATTAGCAGACATGAAAATATCTCATTACATTATCTTTGTTCCACAACCTCTCCGTTTTCTGAACTTCCCTATTTCTGTCAAGGACCTACCAGTCTTCCCTCACTAGTTGACTACTTTGTTGCCATCTTTGACTCCTCATACTCTCTTGCCCTGTATATCCAGTCAGTTGCCATATCCTGCTATTTCTAGCTCCACCTCTCTCCCATCTGTCCCCCTCTGTCTATTCACACAGCCACAAACCTAGTTCAAGCCTTTATCACCTCTCACCTAGACACATTCTTGTGGTTGTTGTTCAGTCGTGTTCGACTCTTTGTGACCCTGTGGGCCATACTGTCCATGGGGTTTTGCAGCAAAGGTGCAAAAAGAGTGGTTTGCCATTGTCTTCTCCAGTGAATTAAAGTAAACAGAGATTAAGTGTCTTGCCCAGGGTCACACAGCTAGTAAGTGTCTAAGTCTGGATTTGAACTCAGGCCTTCTTGACTCCAGGCCCAACATTCTATCCACTGAGCCATCTAGCTGCCCCTAGACAATTTCTACAGCCTCTTAAGGGATCTTCCTACTTCACATTTCTTTTTTCTTCAATCCATCCTCTTCTTGACTGGGAAAGTGATTTTCCTAAAGCTCAGGTCTGACCATATCACCATAATTAAAAAAGTTTAGAGATCGTGGCTCTTCACCTTATATCTTCTCATTAACAGTGCAGAATTGAATAGTCATGCCCAGCCACAGAGGCAAAAGCAGAGTTACACTGTGTCCTGGGAAGAGAGGGAGGAGAACAAGGCAGCAGGATCATCTCATTCTCACAGAAGAATAGAATCCCTACCTCATGGGACCCATCACACACAGAAGAGATAACAGCTAAAGGTCAATATGTGGTGGAGAACTTGTTTCTTTTTCTCCCCCTCTCCTCAGGGGAGGAAAATAAAAAAGTACAATTCAGATTTTTAGCAGTTATTATGTATTCTTTTTTTTCCTTTTTCAAATGTAACAGGAACTGGAACAGCATCGAGAGACACAGACACATTACATTCTCAACCAGAGGAAGAGGATGGGTAGGAATATCATCAGGACTTGGATACTTACCCTTCCTTCCTCCATCACTGCCACACCACCCTGGCTGAGATGGCATAGCATGCTGCCCTTGGCAAAAGACGATCATCTCTTTCAACTGAATCTTAGTGGAGAAAGGTTCAAGGAGGTGGTAGGAGGAGGGACAATGAGGAAAAAAGTGTCAGAGGGAAATGCAGTGAGGGTTTGGACTAGAGTACTTTCTATGGAGCTCAGCATGTGCTCTGGGTCATTGCTAACAGAACTAACCTAATGGCTTCTGTTTGCTCCCTCAGTCCCTGTGATGCAAAGATAGCATTGTAGATGATTAGTGACCTAGCCAGAAAGACCTACCTGTGCAGTAAGTAGACTATTGGAGAAAATGAGAAAAAACAGTTGGCTGTCTCTGTTTGAGACATCCTCCACCAGCTCTCCCTCCAACATCTGGGTGGAGGGGAAGGGATTTCTCTCTTTTCTTCCTACCCTCAACTTCTGTAGCAATGACAGCAAGAAAAAGTGTTTGGCTAGGGGAGGCTGAGAGTAGACCTCAGCTCTCTAGTTGCCTCTTCTACTTTGTGTTTCTTTCTTAGAGCACAGATCATCAAACAATGATCCTGAAAAATGTATAGTGTTGGCTATCTGAAAGCTCCTGAGTTCCTGAGTCAGTCCTAGAGGTACTTCCTGCAACTAAATCTCTTCTTGGAATGAAAGCCAACCAATAATTGGATCCTTCCAAACCTGAATGGGCTAAAGAGCCATTTCTGGCTGGCCAGGAGATATAGACCTCATAAAGGAAGGATATATGCATTTATTAAACACCTACTACGTGCTAGGTAAGGGCTAGGTGGTACAGTGGATAGAGCACTAGGCCTGGAGTTAGGAAGATCTGAGTTCAAGTCCAGCCTCAGACGCTTACTAGCTGGGTGACCCTGGGCGAGTCACTTACCCACTATTTGCATTAGTTCCTCTTCTGTAAAATGGGGACACACTGGAGAAGGAAATGGCAAATCACTCCAGTATCTTTGCCAAGAAAACCCCACAGACTTGGGGTCGTGTAGAGTCAGACACGACTGAACAACAATGATGTACCAGGCACTGTATTAAGTGTTTTCATAATAGCTAACATTTATATATAATTTACTATATGCCTGGTACTATGCTAAGCCCTTTACAATCATTATCTCATTTGATCCTCACAACAACCCTGGGAAGTAGGTGCCATTAATATGTCCATTTTACGGGTGAGAAAACTAACTTGCCCAGGGTCACACAGCTAGTAAGGTCAGCTTACTGAGGTCAGCTTTGAACTTAGATGTTCCTGACTCCAGCCACTGTACCACCTGGCTGTCTCTAATTTTCAATTCTTACAGATAGTATAGATCAGGGACGGGGAACCTGTGGCCTCGAGGCCACATGTGGCCCTATAGATCCTCAAGTGTGGCCCTTTGACTGAATCCAAACTTCACAGAACAAATCCCCTTAATAAAAGAAATTGTTTTGTGAAGTTTGGATTTAGTCAAAAGGCTATACTTGAGGATCTAGAGGGCCACATGTGGCCTCGAGGCCGCAGGGTCCCCACCCTTGGTATAGATCTAAGGTGAAAGTGAAATATCTGGCCAGAAAGTCTTACAAAGTCATCTTTGTCTTTGGGAAGGTATGATAAGTGAGATGGGTTATTGTTTTATGTTTTAAGTATTTGTTAATGCACACTTATGAGTCTTTTGTATTTTAAGTATTTATTTTGTGGTAGAGGAAATCAATAGCTGTCCTGTTTCTATTTTGTAAACTGAGTATCTCTTTCAGAAGGGATCTTGCTAATTGCTTTTCAAGGAAACCCTAGATAAGGGTCATGCCACACCCTGCCCTGCTGACAAGCTGTGAACCTGTGCAGTATCATTGCTGATACTATACCTTAGCTAAGGAGATTTCCATTTATTAACTGTTAAATGGGCTTTGGATGCTTCATTTTGTTTTCATCTTAAACTTGAACAAGCAGATTGACCTGAATTAGGCCTGGCCTAAAACAACAAGGGACAACCAATTCAAAAGACTGCAGATAGAAAATAAAGTGCTGTGTTTGAGGAACAATAAAAAAAAAAAAAGAAGAAAAAAAAGGCCAGTTTGTCTGGTGTGTAGCAAGCATGAAGGGAATAACATATAATAGGTTGGAAAGATTGGTTGGAACCAGGTTGTGAAAAATCTTTAAATGCCTAGGATAGGAATTTATGTTTGTTCCTATTACTATAGGGAGCCACAGAAGACAGGTTTAGGAGCTTTGGAGCATAGATTGGAGGTGGGAGAGCTTTGAAGCATGGAGACTAATTAGGAGGCTATTGCAATAATACAGATAAGAGAGGTAATGACAGCCTGAACTAGGATGGTGGTTATTTGAGTGGAGCGAAGGAGATGGACATCAGAGAAGTTGTAGAAGTAGAAATAACAATATTTGTCAATTTATTAGATGTGTGGGCTGAGTTAGAGCAAAAGTTGAAGATGACATCCTGGTTGCAACCCTAGGTGACTAGAAGGATGGTGGTGCCATCAATAGAAATAAGGAAGTTGGGAAGAGAGGGTTATTGATAAGAAAGCTAGTTATGTTTTAGATGAATGTTTGAGATGCCTGTGAGGTATCCAGCTTGAAATGTTCAGTGGAGACTTGGTGATGTGGGACTAGAGCTCAGAAGAGATAACTAGATACATAGGTCATGATGGAGTCATCCATATTGAGTGGCAAACCTATAGAATCTGATGAAGTTATCGAGAGAGTGGAGAGAGAAAGGAAGAAGGCCCAGCATAGAGAACTGAGGTACAATTACAATTAGAGGTGGGGCTATGGATCTAGTAAAGGAGACCAAGAAGCAGAAGCCAGACAGGTAGGGGGAGAAGTGAAAGAGCTGTGTCACAAAAACCCAGAGAGGAGAAGTGGAAAATGGTGGCCAACAGGGTCAAGTACTGCATGGAGGTCAAGAATCCATTGTCATTTTGGGGGATGTCTAAACAAATCATTGTGCAAGAATGCAATGGAATGTCATTGTGCTATAGAAATTATGAAAATGATGAATATAGAGAAGCATCGATATATAACATCTCTGGCATGAAGGCTGCTATGAACTGATGCAAAGTGAAGTATACAGAAACAGGAAAACAATATCCACAATGACTACAACATAAATGGAAAGAACAACAACAAAACAAACAGATAATAAAGAAGAAGAATACTAGAAGGCACCTCCCTCTGCTTCTTCAAAGATGTAAGGGACTATACATATGGGACATTGCTTATAATATTAAACATTTTTAATATGTTGATTAGCTTTGCTGAAAATTTCTCCCCTCCTTTTTCATTCTTCATAATGAGAGATGGCTCTCTGAGAGAGGGAGATAGAGGGCTACTTTAGGAAATTTGGGTGATGCCAAAGCAAAAGATATTAATAATTTCCTTTTAAAAAGATGAGGAATGAGAAAAAGACTGTCAGTCTGGGCAATTAAGAGATCTGATAACTTCAGAGAGGTTAGTTTCAGTTGAATGATAAGGTCAGAAGCCAGACAGCAAAGGGTTAAGGAATGAGTGAGAGGCATAGTGGTAATAAGGAGTACTGACACATTTTTCTAGGAGTTTGACTAATTGTCAGGTCCTGTCATTTCCACTTTCACAGTATCTCTCCTAAATATCCCCTTTTTTCCTCTGACACTGCCACCCTTCTGGTGCAGGCCCCCATTACCTCATGACTGGGCTATTTCAATAGCTCTCCTTTCCTCAAGTCCCCCCACTTGCAGTCCATCCTCCATTCAGCTGTCAAATTGATCTTTGTAAAGTGAATTTTTGACCATGTCACCCTGCCTTCCCCCCTACTTCAGGCAATTGCAATGGATCCCTATCACTTCCAAAATTTCTCAGTATGGTTTTTAAAGCCCTCCATAATCTGGCCTTGCCTCTCTTCCTACCTTTCTAGTCTTATACTTTATTACCCCCCTCACACACAGATACTCTGCCATCCAATGACATTGGCCTCCTTGCAGTTTCTCAAAAACAAGAACATTTCCCTCTTCCAAACATTTTCATTTGTTTTCCTCCTATCCCTGAAACTGTCTCCCACCTTGTCTCTACCTCCTCCATTCTCTGACTTCCTTCAAATCCTATTTTTCTGCAAGAAGCCTTTCACAATCTTCCTTTACTGTTTTCTTTCTGAGAATATCTCCAATTTAGCTTTGTTTGTGTATACACACATATATATGTATACATCCATCCATTCATCCATCTATCTATCTATCTATCTATCTATCTATCTATCTATCTATCTATCTATCTATCTCTATCTCTTGATTGTATGCAGATATTGTCTCCTAGAGAGCTGCTAGAGGCAGCTAGTAGTGCAGTGGTTGGAGCACTGGGCCTAGAGTCAGGAAGACCTTCATTCAAATCTAGCCTTAGACACTCACTGGTCAAGTCATTTAACCTTTGGCATCAGTTTCCTCAATTATAAAATGGGGTGATAACAGTAGCATTTATCTTGAAGGGTTGGTATAAAGATCATGTAAGATAATACTTGTAAAAAATAAGTGCTTATCACAGTACCTGTCACATTGTGGGCATTCAATAAATGTTAGTTGATAAATGCTAGTTGACTGTCTCACTGACTAGGAAAGGGAAGAGGAATAGGAAAATATCTTAAGAGAATGGTAGAATCTAAATAGGATTTTTGCAGGGTGGCAGAACCTTTGGCATGTTTGTTGGCAGTAGGGAAGGAGCAAGTAGATAAGGAGTGATTGAAGGTTAGAGAAGGGGTGGGAAATATTTGTAGGGGCAATTTTCTGAAGAAAGGAGGGGATAAATGCAAAGATACATGTACGGGATTAGCTAGGATAAGGAGGTCTACCTCTTAATCAGAGACTGAAATATAGGATGATATCAATAACCTGTGAGAAATAGAGAAAGGATAAAAAGGTAGCTCACAGAAAGTGGTCTCTGTTTTCCAAGTAAATATTCCTTTGTTAGTGCTAATCTGACTGTCAGGTGATTTAATAAAACTAGGGTACAGAGGTGCCCTAAGATTGAAAGAACTTCATTGATTAGGGCTGGAGTCAATGGCAGAGACTAGATACCTCTAAACCCCTTTAAGGGACTTGAAAACCTCAGGGAAGGAGTGAAATATAACAAAGGAATTTTGTGGTTCTTTATGGTCATAGAAATGGAACGCGTGGGTGAATGCAAGATCAATGGTGTGATCATCCCTGTGTTTAGCTAAGACGGAGTAGAAAGTCATAGGTCATTTTAATCAATGGGACTTCAAAAGGAAAATACCCAGGCCTCAGTTTGTTTCTGTTTAGAAAAAGTATGCCTTAGAACAAGGAGTTTCATCTTTGTTAATATGATTTCTACCTGAGAGAACTCTGGCAACTAATTGTCTCAAAACTCCAGGCTTAAATAATCCATGTTCTCTCTTTTCTCTCCCTGTGCCCCCCTTTTCTTCCCTCCTTCCTCATCCCTCTATCCCTTCCCCTTTCGCTCTCCCTTTCCCCTCTCCTCTCTTTCTCTATCCCCCTTACCTTCTTACTTTATCTTCCTCTTCCCCTCCCCAGGACAAATACCCACCAAGTACAGTCTTGATGGAGTGGTCACTACTCTTTTTAGTTCTTATTTGCTAATCTTTTCTTATTCTCTCATTTCAGATTCTAAGGCAATCAGAGGATACGTTCTAATATTTCTCATTAACTATATTTCTCTCATTAATTAACCAATTAGCACTGAGCTCTTCACTAACTATTATTTACTAAGTTATAAATAAAATTATATAATATAGTATAATTATATAAACTAATATAATAAATAAAAAATATAAATAAAATTATTTACCAA